CCACATAAGCAGAAAAAAAAAGCCGGAAGTTGTGCTATGGCTCAAGTGGTAGTGTGCTAGCCTTGAGCTGAAGAGCTGAGGGACAGCGCCCAGGTCCAGAGTTCAGGCCCCACTACCGGACCCCCCCCAAAAAAAAATAAGTACCAAATGATCCTAGACTTATATACAAAAGAATGTAAACCAATATACAGCAAAATAACTGCACAATCATGCTTATTGAAGTTCTATTCAGAATAGCCAAAATATAGAATCAACCTAGGTCCTCATTAACTAATGAAAGAAAAAGAAAACGTGGTGTATATGCACAATGAAGTATTATTCAGTTATAAAGAACGAAATTGTGCCATTTGCAGGGGGGAAACATGAACGAAACTAGAGATCATGCCAATATATATATATATATATAAGCCAGACTATGAAGACAAATATCACATTTATCTTTTCATATGTGGAATCTAGTCCTTAAAATTGAATGACATGAACGTAAAAAGTTTCAAATTGTAGGTAGGTATCAGTAGGAAGAGAGAAGATAAAGAAAAGTATAAGGACAATGAATATGTTTGAACTGTCTTATAAACACATGAAAATAGAACATTAAAAACTGTACAAATTGTTTTAAGAAGGGAAAGGCGAATGAGAGGAATGATAGAACCTGTGAATTTGATCTGGGTACAGTGTATGCATGTATAACAATATGATGAAATTCCTTTGTACATGTAAACTGTAAACAAATAAATCTGTGATAATTTTTTAAAGAGAAAAGGAAGAATAAACTACATAGTACATTGCCATGGAAGATAAAAGTAAAGGGCATCTAAGGAAGGGGAGATTGCTTCATCAAATGAAACAAGGAGGTTAAGGTGGTTTAGAACTAACAAAACCTGCTGACTTTGAGATGAGGAGGTTGCCCTAGTCCACTTTGTGTTGCAATAACAAAGTATCTGAGACTGGATATTTAATACAAAAAAAAAAGTTTTGTCTCATTGTCTGTGGCTTGAAAGTCCAAACAACTTGGGCATCTCCATCTGACTGGTTCACAACATGGCAGAGAAATGTAAAGCAAACTTGCCACGTGAAGAAGGGACATGTATGAAAGGAAGGAAGAGAATGGGAAGAGACTAGGCTTGCACTTTTATAACAACTTCCTCTTGTGAGTATTAATCTACTCTTTCAATATTAATGAGCATTAATCTGCTCATGATGGTGAAACTCTAATGACCTAAATACCTTCTCCTGGGTGCCGTGTCTTAAAAGGTTCCAATACCTCAACATTGTCCTCACACTGAGGACTAAGCTTCCAGCACACAACATAGAGGGACAAAAATCTAAATCATAGCAGTGGTTACTGGTTAGTACAAAAGGAAAGAAGCAGTTTGTACCTAAAGGACAATGTAGGGGGAATGGGAAAGGAAGAATGGGGGATGTATAGTGAGGAACTGAAGCTGTCATTGCTTTGCAGCTTCTCTTCTTTGTATTGAACGAGAGGGAGAGAGATGGCTTTCACTCAGTGGGGTTATGGGGTCATATGAAAGAATGGCTGGACATGTATCTCATCTCAGAACTGAAATGGCTGGTAACTCCTGAAAGAACTTTTGCCCCTCTCTTGCCTCTTGGCTATGATGCAGGAAATCATAACAAAAGTAGACAAAAGTTCCTACCCACTTCCTTTTGTGGCAGAACACTGTGGCAGAAGAAAATAATATTATAAAGTAATCTTCCCATTTATAATACCACATTATTGCCAGCTGAACAATTACAAGGGACTCCCTATATAGTAAAACCTCATTAATTTGGACTACAGTAATTTGGAATTAGTGGTAATTTAACCTGGGCTGGAATTACCTGTGTAATACAAGGAAAGGGTTCACTAAGCAAATAGTGTGAACAAGATTTCAAGGGAGTTAATTTGGTCTGCCAGGAGCTTATTTCACCTATTTTAAAGAACATACTGTTTTTAAAGAACTTCAGCATATTCATTATTTGAATGCAAATTGATTCGGCTAATTATAGATTAGTGTAATCTACTGTTAAAATCCTATATCTGTAACAGTTAACTTTGTTCTTACTGAATATCCTAATTAGAAATAAAACGTTAGTACTTTAAAGTTAGTTCATAATTTACATTAATACATGTACCTTTTCTCCACCCTCATGAGTTAACTACAGTTCATAAGGTATTATCCTAAAGTAGCACATCATTTATGATTACAGGGGAAAACCTAATAAATGATTTTAAAAAATAGCTTCATAATAGCCAAAAAGGTATCTTAAAAGTTGATGGCCTATATCTTCTGCAAGTTCCATTGACCATTTACTTAGCTCTTGCTTAACATACTAAACTGACACACCAACTAGGAGAGCTGATGTATATATTTTATATACAAGGTGCTGTGCTTGCAAGTGCTCTACTAGAGTCTTGTTTCTTCCCCCCTTTACTTTTCTTGAATTTAGGGTTTGGGTATTGTCCCTTAGCTTTTTTGCTTAATGTTGGCACTCTACCACTTCCACTTCAGCTGATTGGAAATAAGAGTATTTCCAATTTACCACCTGAAAACCAAAAGTGGCACTGTGGCTAAAGTGGTAGAGCACTTGCCTTGAGCTGAAGAGATAAGGGACAGCACCTAAGCCCAGAGTTCAAGCCCTTTGACTGACAAAAACAAACACACACACAAAAAGAGTATCATGGATGTTCCTGCCTGGGCTGCCTTCAAACCATGATCTTCAGATCTCAGCCTCCAGAATAGCTAGTAGTAATGGCTAGTAGACAGTTTTGTTTTTAATGTTCATAACTAATAAGAAGGAGGAAAACAGTTGCTACATGAAGGGACACAGAAGAATAAGAAACGAATGCAGAAAGGAAACAGAACTCACATAAAACATGGCTTCAATAACTGTAAAAGCACCAAAGTCTAAAACAATGTAGTACAGAGGTAAAGACCTATAACATTCCATAGCAAACCTTAAAAACTGTAATAGAGCACAATAACTAATAACTGAAATTATGCCCCTAAATTATCAAGGGAGATTATATATAAGACTTAAAATGCAGATAAATATACACACACTGACATAATTTGTGTCCATAATAATTAACCTAAAATGTGAAATATGCTGATGCTTAAAAAGATGAGGTTCAGAATATTATTATATAATAACAAAATGTTATTAAATGCTTACTCTGTGTTAAGCATGTTACGTCATTTAGTAACATAATTAATATAATGTAATAACATTTTCCTAACATAGTTCACTTCTATAGTTGAAGAAAGTAAGTTAGATTAAGAAACTAACTTCAGGAGGAGGGAGAGAAGGAGGGAAAAACAGAGAGATGTAGGGAGACAGAGAGAGAGGGGGGAGGGAGGGAGGAAGAGAGAGGAAGAGAGAGAGAGAGAGAGAGAGAGAGAAAGAATATGAATCAGTTAGAACTCAGGCCAATTTCTTATCTATTCATCACCATGCCTTTCTGTGTTCCATTCAATAAAGCTCTGTAAGAATCACTTCTTTCTTTTTTGGGGGGTCCAGTCATGGGGCCTGAACTCTGGGGCTGGGCCCTCAGCTCTTCAGCTCAAGGCTAGCACTCTACCATTTGAGACACAGTGTCACTTCCGGCTTTTTTCTTTTTGCTTATGTGGTGCTGAGGAATCGAACCCAGGGCCTCATGCATGCAAGGGAAGCGCTCTACTACTGAGCCACCTCCCCCCTCACTTCTTTCTTTTTCTTTTTGCCAGTCCACTGTCCCTGAGATTTTTTTGCTCAAAAACGAGCACTCTACCACTTGAGCCATAGTGCCACTTCTGGATTTTTTGAGTAATTTTTTGGAGATGAGTTTTGTGGAGTTTCCTGCCTGGGCTGGCTTCGAACCACAATCCTCAGATCTCAGCCTCCTGAGTAGTTAGGATTACAGGTGTGAGCCACCAGCACCTAATTCAATCCTTTCTTAAAGGTTCCATGTAGGCAATGTTCAACTATATTTTCATTATACAGCCTGGTATGTAACTAATATCTTGATTTGTAAGCCGAAAGTCCTATGATCTAAAAGACAGATAGGCTGTTATATTTATATAAACATACTATTGTGTAAGCTGAAAGAAAAAGTAATAATGAAAGTAAACAGTCAAAAAATATGAATATGTGCATTAGGCTTGCCACAAAATCAAACATCAATCTCTGTATATTATTTACAAATAAGTAACCAAGCAACAAAATGAAAAAGTTTAAAAGTATCAAATATCAGTTAGTATCTTATTTTCCTATTGTTTTCTTATTCCTTTTGAAGAAATTTCACATAAGAATAGGCCAGTGGGAGATGAGGAATGGGAGGAAGATTACAGATGAGGTTAGCAATTCATTTGGCTGTTCTAAAGGAGTATCTGTTTGCCAGTTATTCTGAAAGAATTATAAGGACATAAAAGAAAATATGGGCCCAAACTTAGCACTCTTTGAAGGCAGAGACAGGAAGATCATACATTTAAGGCCAACCTGGGCTATACAGAGAGACCTTGTCTCAAAAAGAAAAAAGACATGTAGACATGATATATATCAGGGAGAACAGAAGTGGAGATAGGGAGATGAAAATATATGTAATTATCTGTGTTAGATGTAAAGTGAATGTAGGTTGCCAAATGTACATACAAAGACATTCATACAATTTATTCTAACTAAATCGATGATCTTTAATCAACTCCTTTTGTCTCATATCTACTAGTTCTTCAATGATCAGCTGAAAATATCACTTCTGTGATGAAGCATTCCACAAATTCTGAACCAAATTCTCCCTCATTTCTGCTCTTAGAGTTTTTCCTTATTCTCATTTGCCATAGCACTAATTATACTCTACCAATTATTCATGTATGCGGTTCCCTCTATCCCATCCTGAGGGCAGGGGACTTTTCTCATGTCTGCAATTCCTATAAGGTCTAGCACAGTACCCATCTCATAGGGTTTAGGAAAATCTTGACCCTGTAGCACTACTCAAGACAGTGCATTATCACCTATCTTACCTGAAGGAGTATTTGTTCTCTTTCTTTTCTTGCTTGATTCCCCTCCATTCTCAATGAGGCCTTCTGTGACCAGAGGGCCACTGGCACTACCAAACTGCAGGGGCTCGTTGTTGTTGGCAGGGTCAAAGGGTAGCTGGTTCAATCCTAAAGAAGAAAAAGAAAGCCAAAGTCCAGACTCCATTAAGGACTGGAATCATCTCCAGATTTTATTATATGAGCCACTACAGGAAAACCTTTTAAGTTAAAAGAGCCTAGGAGTAACTGATGAATTACTTAAAGAAGTTGCCCCCTACTATTCTTACAGATCATGTTGAAAAGTATAGAATTAAAAGAGAAGACAGACAGAAGATTTCTTTCAAATCTCTGTCACTGGTTAGATCCCTCCTGTTTTTGTGGGAACTTAACATTTTTAGCCTCAAGTTAGCAATTATTTTCCATTTTTCCCTTTAAAAGATAGGACTAGACAGATGTAGTAGTATGTGCCTGTAGTCCCAGCTACTTGGGAGGATGAGGCAGGGGGGACAGCTTAAGTCTAGGAGTTACAGGCTAGACTAGATAACACAACAAGACTTCATCTGAAAAGAAGAAAAAGATAGGGCCTTATTTCTTTAAATGATCCTGTGGCTAGACCTACTCTTAATGTGAACAATATTGGTTTTGAATTCTTTGGATTATCTCCTGTAGTTTTTTCAGGATTTTCTCATAACCTTTGTTGAACTGATGCAGATATGCTCATTAATCTATCCTGGTATCAAAGTCACTTCCAATAATATAGAGATTTCTAGAACAGAAAACCGTAAGTCTACAGTAAACAAGAGAAGAAAACAAAATATAGAAATTGCAAGGGGTTGTTTACTAGCAGGAATGATGGGGAGTTATGGGTGACATTAATCTCACCCTCTTCAAATGCTGTATGAAGTGTGGCCACTTTACTAGTCACTGCAACACCATATAAAATGGCAAAAGCCATTTTCTATTCTTCAAGTCGTATGTGGTTCAGTCAGGGTTGAACAAGGATAGTTTCTTATTCCTCTGGCAGCTGTACCTGGAATTTCAAGTGTTTCAATTAAAACTTCATGAAATGTGGAACCAAAAGCTCTGTTAAAACCCAAAGTAAAGACACCTCTTCTAAGCCTTTTATCCACTAGTCTCATAATCCTATCAACAAAGGAATCAGGTTGGCCTGATATGGTCCTTTCTTTAACAGCAATTTTTCTGTACCCCATAGCTGTATAATTCTTGAGATAAAATTGCAAAATGTCAGTAAAAAGCTTGTAATCTGGTCACCTAAGGGTCAACTGAGATTAGGCTAAATGAATGCTAAGACTCTAACAAAATGATTTCACATTATATTTTTTTAATAACAAGCATCCCATCCCCTTGCTAGTTTTTTAGCCCCCACAAAAAAAGTATTCTTTCTCTAGTAGACTCTACTTGGAACACCTTCAATCCATGTCCTTTTGGACTTGCCAAATATCTTTCTTTCATATTCCATGAGTAACTAAATGAAAGAGTCAAACTTGCTTCTATATTTTGAGAAAACTATTCATGGCATTATATCCATATGCATATCAATGTCCTTTAAATTTTTTACCATCTTTAGAAATTATGAAACATGAATAATTAAGTTTTAGAAAATATTGACCCAGACTATGTTTAAAGAAGACTAGATTATTATATCATTTGCTAATGAAGATGTTTCTTCTAACTGAACAGTCCCAGAGTCTACTATGATTAGTGAACTATTCCTTATCTTATTTTGGCCTTCCTTTCTACAATACCATACTGATCTAAACAAGTTCCATGTAAGATACCAGTTGCATGAAAAGAGCCTGAAAGACTGGGCTACAGATTGTAGGTATCTTTTACTAGGTAGATAATATTTGGCTAAGCATGTAATTGCCTTAGTCTTAGCTTCATAATGTGTAAACAGAGTGCTAACACTGAGGAGAATTATTGCAAAGATTAACAAACACACATTTATGAAATTATATTATTCCAAATGAGTTTAAGCAAACTATTTGCTGTAAGTTTGTATAGTCTCCTGGGATCTTTCCCACACTCCCCACAATTGTATCCTTGTGCATTGCTCCAAGACTGAAACAAGTAAATGTTGAATAAAATAATCCATCTGCAATAGGGGGTGGAGGTGGGGTGGAGGTGATTCATTTTATTAACATGGAATTAGAGTAAAGACTTGGCAATTGATAATCAAGAACTAATGTCATATCTGAAAATTTCTGATGCTGATTATGGCAACATTACTTAAAATAATTAGATTTTAAATGCATCTCCATCACTTGAGTACTATACTGCAGGATGGGTAAATTCTGATTAAAAGGAATGCTTTGGTATTAGGAGGTTATGATTAATGATTATTAATCATGTCTTTCTTATTTTGCCTCATTTGATAACTTCATAGAAAATTATATTCGTCCATTTCCTTGCTTAATTAAAGCAGGTAACTGAGGCGCCTGTCACAGCAATAATCTTCAAAAGAGGCTAGTAACAGTAATTCATGAGCCTTCAAAATATGACATCAGATCATATATGTACCCATACAGACACACACACACACACACACACACACACACACACACACACACACACACACACACACACTGAAGCCTGGTTTTTCTCTTCCATTTTCTGCTTCCAGGGAGGCTGCCATGACTTCTGTTTCCTCTGGTGGAATGAGTATACTGTTGAGGGTAAAGTTTCTCTTTTAGGGTTGAATGTATATGGCAGGATCACTAATTATTAATATGTAATATTAATATTGAACTGCCATTTTAACTTCTCAAATTGTTGATTCATAATATGAAGAAATTGATCTAAACTTCCCTTATCCAAAGATATACCCTACTACCATCATTTGAAGTTTTTCATTGCTCTTTCTACCTTTTGGGAAAAGTTGAAGGAACCTAAGAAGAAAGAAACTGATGTGGTATAGGTATTCAGTGACAGACATTTGACTATAATTTTTCTTACTCTTTAGTTATTACTAGATGATAATATGAGTATGATTTAGGCACTTTATTCCTCATACTAATGTTCAGATCTTTATAACACTAAGATCTAATACTTTCTTGTATATTTACCATATGTAAGATCCAGACATATGAAAATCATGATAATTTGGAGTAGGAGCTCAAGCTTTCTATTTTATATGGAAAAAATCTCTTGCCAAAGAGAGAGAGGCATTTCACTCAGTAAGCTGATTCATTGAACATAAATCCACATTTTATATTATCCAGGATCCAATGTAGTCTCTAGAGATTTGTAGTTTGAGAGCAAGGGTTATAGAGATAGCAAAATCCTATGACACTTGTGGTTCCTAGCTACTTTTACTGTAGTGTATCATTCCTCCCTTAAGACCGCACCAAATAAACCAATAAATCAGTATTGCTTACAGTTATCTCTTCTGTGTTATATATAGCTGATCTATGCCAAATGATAGTTTAACTGGAACAACCCCATTAAAATTATTTAAATCCTAAAAAGGAAAACTGACAACTTAAGTACAAGAATTCTTGTTGGTGAAATGCTGATATAAACTAAGCAATTAACATATTGAAATTCCCACCCAAACCACAGAATTTATCTTATTCTCTCTCTCTTTTTTTTTTTTTTGGTCCGGTCGTGGGGCCTGAACTCTGGGCCTGGGCGCTGTCCCTCAGCTCTTCAGCTCAAGACTAGCACTCTACCATTTGAGCCACAGCGATATTTCCAGCTTTTTTTTTTCTGCTTATGTGGTGCTGAGGAATCAAACCCAGGGCCTCATGCATGCAAGGCAAGCGCTCTACCACTGAGCCACCTCTCCAGCCCTTATCTTACTCTCTTATGGAAGCAATTCTTATCACTTTCTACTTGAAATGGATATTTTTCAATTTAGAAGAAACTTGTGGGGCTAGCTAGTTCATTCTGTGCAATACAGGAGTCTTTTCTACAAGATTCCTCACTAGGTTTCAATTCAAGGAGTACTTCTTTGCTTGGGGTCCATTCCTTGCTAGATTCTGAGGCATTCACAATTGGCTTTACTTAATTTTTAAGACGTACCACCTACTCTGTTTAGAAAATTTTTTTATTTTCCCTAATGTGAAGCAAGATATAATTTGTTCAATTGTCATCTTACTCATTATCACCAAATGTATACATAGAGATGTCTAACATATTAAGGATTCTATTAAGTCATTCACAATAAAAAAGAGGGTGTAAAGGATAGCTAACAGAGAATCCAGTCAGAAAATTTCTAAAGTCCTATATATTTCTCACAGTCCTTGCTTTCTTATATCTGAGGATAAACAATAAAACTTTGTACGTTGCTTGCTCTTTTCCATCATATTTTGTCACCTTATTTCCCAAGCTCACAAAATTTACTTTGTCCAAATAGAAGCACAAATTGATAAAGAAAAATGGATAAGAAACATTAATATTATAGATTTCTTCTATTCTGTATGTTATGGTCACAATAAAAATCCATATGGTAATGTAATCTTTTATAAAACCAACTTGACTTGTGTAGACAGCTAACCAGCTGCTATTTCCTGTCATGTTTAAAATACTGATTATCTGACTTCATAGCACACATGAGGGCTCTTTAAAAAGTATTCATGACAGGAAAGGGTCCTTGGAAAATGGCATTCTTCATCCAATGGATCTAGGGGGCTTAAACATCTCAAAATGAAGTGTGGTTCTTAGTGAATACTCCAATCTGTAGGTCAAGGAGTTCACATGTAATGATTTCTGCCATACATATGCAAATGATTCATGGCCTTTGAGAAAAGCAATGAAGAAATTTCATGATTCTTGTGAAAGGAGATCAATGAACTTTTTATGGCCAGCTGCTACAACAGTTACTGTCACAATTCACTTTACTGAGATTTCTACCATCAGGTCCAATTAAGACCAATCTTCACGATGCAATCTAACACTTTTAATGATTGCCTCAGGTTGTAGGACTGAAACGTTACACTGTGAATCTACGCTATTTTTTTTTTTTTTACTTGAAGCTGTGGACTCAGAATATATATAGTGTTAGCAAAAAGAAATACAACTCCTCTTTGTATTAGTTCCTTTTAAGTTAAATAATTAAAGTCCTGAGAAATATGGTAACTAAAAGCAGCAATATCCAGATAGAAATTCATGTTGACAGAATAAATACAAATTTTTGGCAATAAACATATCTATCTAATTTGTCTACATAACAAATTTCTGTAATCTGAATCTTATTTTCTAAATGACTTCAGTTTAAAAGTCAGATACTGGATTCTATGGCAGGGGGAGGGAGGTGTTACAATTTATTTAGTTCAATATCAAACCCAGCGCCTTTACATGCTAGGCAAGCACTCTGTCTCTGAGCTATATCGCTAGATCTTGTTTATTTGAGACAGGGTCTCATTATGCATCTCTGGTCAGCCTTAAACTCACAATGTAGGCAGACCAGACCTCTGAAGAACTCAATACTTCTGCATTTTCCTACTGAGTTGCTGGAATTAGAATAGTACACAAATATACCTGCTCCAAATTGCTTTAAACTTTTGGGAAAATAAGAGATCAGGGTAATGGTTAGGCAATTAATGTGTTGAAGGGCACTTTTGTGGAATTTATTCATCTCTGGAATCCCCTCTTTGTTTTCATTCCTTCTCCCTGGTTTCTCTGTGAGGCCTGAAAACCCTTTGATTCCACAATAGTAACAAAATGCTACTTTTCCATTCCATTTGGTACCTTTGGGAGAATAGTCACAATGTTCAAAAGAGTTAAAAGTGAACTTCTGCTTTTCAACTAAGATAACAGTACCTGAAACAACTGAAAATTTCTCAGTTCCAGGTTCCTTAATGATTGCAAACAAAGGAAACCTATTATGTGAAAGTTTTGTAAATCCAATATTCTGGGTGTTATAAATCCAGTACCCAAGGTTTAGCTAATACAAGAGTAATTAATGAGTGAAGGCAATGGAAGAAATGGAAAGAAAAGGGCAAAATATTTTCAACTAAGGGTCTTGCTTGAATGGTGGTAGACATAAGAACTTTTAGGAAAAGGTTA